CATTGGGGCCTTAGCTGGAGCTCCCTATGGGACTACGAAGCGTGTGAGGGGTGTGCCGAAAAGGGGGTGACGCCCACGTGCGCGCGGTGCCACTGGGGCCGTGGGTGGAGCTCCCTTTGGCGCCACGAAGCGTGTGAGGGATGTGTCGAAACGGGGGTGACGATCACGATCACGACGATGATGATGACGATGATGATGATGATGATGATGATGATGATGATGATGATGATGATGATGATGATGATGACGATGGTAATGGTGATGGTGATGGTGATGATGATTGTGATACTTGTGGTGATGATGATAATGATGCGGATGAGGATGATGATTAGGATGAGCATGTGGACGAGGATGAGGGTGATGATGATGGGGACGAGGATGAGGATGAGGATGAGGATGATGATGATGATGATGATGATGATGATGATGATGGTGGTGGTTATAGTTAGGACATGCGAAGAGCAAAGGCAGGGACGGGAGGAGGGAGGAGGGGGAGGAGGAGGAGTGAGGAATGAGACGCGGGGCGCTGTCTCTTTACACGAGGACCCAACACCACAGGCTGGGCAGGAAAAAAAAAACATCTCCAGGGGTGCCCAGCCGACCTCCACGCGACGTCGGCGCAAACCACTGCCGACGGCGGCCTCCGCGTCGACTTCAGCGACGGCAACAGCGGCAAATTCGATGCGCACTTCCTCCGCAGCTACGCGGGCACCGTGGCGCACGGCCTGGGCGGCGAGAGCCGGAGGCCGCTCGTCGAGACCGACTGGCTCAAGCCGTACTGCGGCTTCCCTGACGTCAGGTCCCCAGGCAAAGCCCAGGTTCGGGAGGGAAAGAGCACCCAGACACTTCCCTCCCTCTCCTCCCCTCCCCTCCCCACCCCCTCCCTCCCTCCATTCCTTCCCCTTATGAGTACCTTCTCCCTGTCGCACCCCAAGGGGCTAATATTTTGGGCTGGCCGGGCCTTTCGCCTGAGACTTCCTCACCGTCTATGATTCTGAAACTGAATTAACGGCAACAGCTACACAGATGAAGGGCGGGTCGTTTTCAAAATGTGGCTCTCGCCTTAGCGCTGCGCATCTTAGTTTTTTTGATGGTACAAGAGTTTCATGGATTGAGGGCGGGCCGTTTCAAAATGTGGCTCTCGCCTCTGCGCCGCGCACATTCGTTTTGAAATTTGCAAGAGCTTCACGGATTGAGGGCGGGTCGTTTTCGACATGTGGTTCTCGCATTAGCGCCGCGCACATTCGGTTTAAACAATTGCAAGAGCTTCACGGATTGAAGGTGGTTCCTTTTCAAAATGTAGTCCTCGTTTCAGCGTCACGCACATTCGTTCTAAACATGTGCAAGGGCTTCACGGACTAAGGGCGGTTGGACTTCAAAATGCAGCTCTCGCCTTAGCGCCGCGCACATTCGTTCTAAGAGCTTGCAGGAGCTTCGCGGAGTGAGGGCGGCTTGTTTCCAAAATGTGGAGCTCGCCTTAGTGCCGCGCACATTCGTTCTGAAATTGCACAAGAGCTTCAGGGATTGAGGGCGGGTTGTTTTCAATGTGTGGCTCTCGCCTGTGCGCCGCGCACATTCGCTTCAAAATGTTGCAAGAGCTTCACGGATTGAGGGCGGTTCCTGTTCAAAATGTGGCGTTCGCTTTAGCGCCGCGTGCACTCGTGCTAAAAAGCTTCAGAAGTTCAGGGGCCCCCGTGATAAACGTACCAGAAATGGTGTTTTGGAAGGGTTCACGATTCTGAGGGCGCAACAGCTACAATGATGCGCAGTGTTGACGTCCCAGGAATGGCGTTCTGGCACGATTCCGGATCATCAAGACGCAATTGCCAAGTTTATCCGTCGCGTTGGAATTCCGAGAGTAATGTTTTGGCATGCTTCAGAGATTTCAAACGGTTGTCTTCCAACGAGGCAGGTCCCTCTGTGGAAAGGAACCGTTGTATGGGCCTATGAAGAGGGAGCTTGGGAGGAGGGTTTATTCCAACATCGTGGTGGCTCGTGGGTTTACACTGGTCCTCTTCTTCCTCCTCCTCGGACAATCCAACGACCCCAGGACAACACAAAATCACGGCGCGCGGTGTTGCCCCAGTTAGGGTTTCCAAGGGCCTTCACCAGTCAGGAAGGAAAAAACACACATACACAAATAATATTTGATTCCCAGGAAGAGATTTGAAGATTTGGGAAGTGGAGGGGGAGACGAAAACCCAGAAAGCATTGGGAAATGTGGAGAATCTTGGGATTTGTGTGTATGTATTGTGTGTCCCAGGGCCTCTTCACAGGTGAACTTGTGGACGAGCCGTTCTGGCCCAGCGTTCCAGGAGATGACCCTCGAAGAAGTCATGGCGCCTGCTGGGAACCTCGAGATGCTCCAGGTCCTTCTCCGCGACGGCGCCTTCAAGATCACCGACGTGCCTTCGCCAGGCCCGGCTGCTCTCCACGCCTTCGCCGACGCTTGTTTCAACGGCCTGCAGAAGGACCCGTCGCGGACAGAGGCGAATTGGGA